CTCACAGGAGGAGAAACTCCGGCAAATGGAGACCCTTGGAAAGGCCCAAGTGGTTAAGGACAGAACTGAAAGCCACCGGACCAAAGCAGCAGCCTTCCTGGGGGCCGCCTCCAGCCCTTTGGTCTCAGGACCCCTTTCCACTCCTAAAAATTATTGAGGCCCCAGCAGGTGTGGCTCAGTGGATACAGCAACGGCCTGGGGACTGATCCCTGGCCTTTGTTGGGGAGCAGGCGGGAGTCAACCAATCGATGTGTCTCTCCCACATCGATGTTTCTCTCTCTGTGTCTCTCCTCCACCCTCCACTCTCTCTAAAAAAATCAATGGAAAAACATCCTCAGGCGAGGATTAACGAACAAAATAAAATTATTGAGGGCCCCAAAGACTTTTGTTACGTGGACTGTCGTACATTTTTTCACACCTGGCTCCCTGGTATGAATGAAGGCCCCCTCCATTCCGCAGCACGGCCTGCTGGGGTCTGGAAAGGGCGGGGTCCCCTCAGGTGCTCAGGTGCCGAGTCCTCGGGCACAGGTGTCTCTGGCCAGCCCAGTCCCCTTGGGTCTGACTTGTGCTTCTGGAAACGAAAAATTCTTTCAGGGAGTCGACTCCCAGGCCCTGGAGACTGAGTCTCTTCACGTCTGCATCTCCTCACGGCCTGGAATACACACTTATCTGCAAGTTCCCTGATGTAAATCCACCCATTTCCTCCTGAATCCAGAGCAGACCGTGCCCCAGAGTCTGTGGTGACAACGGAGCCCCCTCTGCCTGTGCCAGCCCCTCCAAACCCTCAGTCACAGGGCCCAGACCTCAAGTGGGAAACAAAAGTGGGTCCCTTCTAAATACAATACGTAAAAATAAGTCTCAGGTGGATTTAAAAGCTTAATGTGAAAATTAAAATTTTAGCTTTTAGAAAGCATCGAGGGTTGGGGAGATCACTTAAAGAAGACTCAAAGGCACAGCATACAGGTGAAGGGCTGACACATTTAACAACACTAACGTTTAACAACCGCTGTGGCATCGTAAGATCCTTAAGGGAGGTGCAGAGAAACCACAACCAGGGAAGAATATCCGAAACGGATCTAATTGACCAGAGATTAGCGTTGCTCCAGAGTATATATCTTTTTTTAAAAAATATATTTTATTGATTTTTTACAGAGAGGAAGGGAGAGGGATAGAGAGTTAGAAACATCGATGAGAAAGAAACATCGATCAGCTGCCTCCTGCACACCTCCACTGGGGATGTGCCCACAACCAAGGTACATGCCTTTGACCGGAGTCGAACCTGGGACCCTTCAGTCCGCAGGCCGACACTCTCTCCGCTGAGCCAAACCGGTCAGGGCCAGAGTACATATCTTAATAGGCCTAAATATCTATACTAATAAAAGGGTAATATGCTAATTAGACCGGGTAGACTGGACATCTTCCGGTCGTCCAGTCCTCCTTCCAGACAAAGCCACGGTGGCGGGGGCCGAGGTAGAGGCGGTTAGGGATGATCAGGCCAGGAGGGGAGGGCAGTTAGGGGTGATCACGCAAGCAGGCAGGTGAGCAGTTAGGAGCCAGCGGTCCCGGATTGCAAGAGGGATGTCTCACTGCCAGTTTAGGCCTGATCCCTACCTAAACTGGTAGTCGGACATCCCCCGAGGGGTCCCAGATTGGAGAGGGTGCAGGCAGGGCTGAGGGACCACCCCCCAACCCTGTGCACGAATTTTGTGCACTGGGCCTCTATTCCATAAATAAAAGGCAAACCGTCCAAATGAAAAAATGGGCAGGAGATAGGAACAAATAACCAACAAGGCAACATGCACAGCCACGACGTGTAAAAGGAGGCTTAACCTCATCGCAAACTAAAACCCACACCTTGACCCGGTCACACAATGGTTCTTACCCTTTGGCCTTCTCACATTTACTTGCTTTTTCCCATCTCAACACTTCACCATAACCCTTCATTATGGGAGCACCCATTCCTCCCTCCCTTCCGGTCCAGCTGCTTCAGAAGGGCCCTACCTTCTGCTCTACCCCCGAGGGCACCCTGTCAGGCCTTTCAAAGGACCTCTTGAAGCCTAACAAACCCAAACTCTTGTCAGATCTCCTCTTCGGAAGCCCCTCTCGGATAAACACGGCCACATCGAGTGAGCTTCCCCCGTGCTTCTTCCCCTTTCATCTCCTGGGAGTTGTCACCGCCAGGGACCAGCCCCACCTGCTGAAAGCCCCCCTCCACTCCGATGCCACCCTGGGTCTGATGCGAGAGAGTCACAGCCCCTCACAGCTCAGATCCCTACCACAGGCCAGGAACACCACGGGCCACCCCACCTCTGGCTTCCTGCCTTTGCTCTTCCACGCACAGCCCAGGGGAAAGAAGGCTCCGTCAGACACCAAAACACAGAACCCTGATTCCTCTCATGACCAACAGCAGCTCTCCGCACGCCAGTTTCTGGGACAAGGACACGGAGCCCGTCTGCTCCGTGCGGCTTCGAGGTCCTCCCAACCGCGAATCCTTTAGAGAGGAGAGCCGCCCCTCCACACCCCCACCCGTGCCGCGGCTCTGACCTCGCCCCGCTGCGCGCTGCTACCCTTTGAGGACACTCGCTCTGTTTCGACAACTGCCTTGCAGGGTTTCTGGCGACAGGCACGGTTGAAGCCAGCACAAGGCCCGTGCTTAGCACTGGCAGCTGGCACAGCTCCGAGCTGCCAGCCACCGGGCCTCACGGCTCTCGCACACCTTTGCTTAGGGAACTTTCTACTTAGAGAAACGATTGCAGAGATGGGGATGGGGGAGTGGGGGGTGTAAGCCTCTCTCTTTTTAATATGTTTTTATTGATTTCAGAGAGAGGAAGGGAGAGGGAGAGATAGAAACATCAACGGAGGAGGAGACCAAGATGGCGGCATAGGTAAACACCGGAGACTGCTGCCGCAAACAACCACTTCAAAAATACAACTAAAAGACGGAACAGACATTACCCAGAACCACAGGAAGGCTGGCTGAGGAGAGACTCTTCAACTAGAAGGAAAAATAACAGCATACCGAGGTTCAGAGGAGGCGCAGTGTGGAAAATACTCAGGTACGGAGGTGCGCGCGCAAAGCGGGCTGGTGGCTGAGGGCGCGGTTGTCGTTTTCAATCAGGAGGGAGTCTCAGACTCTGAGCTCCAGATC